GTGCCAGGACTGCAGGTGTGTGTCACTATGATCAGCTTACAGCATCACTTTAAACAATTCCCCTTTACATACTTTCTTAGTCATACTTACAGCTGGAGTTCAACATATGATGGAGTTCTAGGTAATGATATGTAAAGGGATGTCTGTTAAATCACACAGGAAGAAAAGGATAACCTCAAAAGGAAAGCTGGAAACTTACCCCTACCCCTTTCCCCTTAATTTTATTTATTTATTTATTTTTAGAGAAAAATTAAGTAGCCCAGGTTGGCCTGAAACCTGACATGTTTCTGTCTCAGCCTCCTGAGTGCTAGGATTACAGGCATATTCCACTAAACTCTGCTGCTCCTTCCTTTCCATTTGGAACATTTCATATTGAGAACATGATGTTCAGGGTCGTGGCAGCTATGTTGGGATGATAACAAAAGACTGAAGATAACTGAAGATTAGCTTTCCTTATCAGAGATGTAAATGAGGGAAGCTAACTAGACAGAGGGAGGCAAGGGGTCCCTTGCCTACCAGAAGGGAGAGTGTGTCAGCAACACCCTCAAAGGGCTTTTCTTCAATAGTCACAACCATAACCTGCCCTTCCTCCTGCCATTTCCCTCTCCTGCGGAAGGCTTTCCTCTATCATTCTTCCTTTGGCTAGGACAAGAGTGTTGAATTCTCTTTGGTCCTTAAAAGAGCTGAAAGCAGCAAGTTTTACTTGAAGTCTCTTGTTTATCATTATTAACTGTTCATACAAAACACTGCAATTTGGTCAGAATTTGTATGTTTTTTTTTAAAATGCTTTATTTATCACTAAAAGTATCCTATTTCCTATTACTTAGTTACTAAGAGAGATTATATTGTGTTGATTTAATGAAGCTTGGGTAATTGGGAATGCATATCAGATTCATTATTCAGCAATTTCTTTTATTTGTTTTGTGGTCACAATAATTCAAGAACACAGCTGGACATGATAGTGCATACCTGCAATCCCAGCACTCAGGAAGTGGAAGCAGGAGGATCATGAGTTCAAGGCCAGCCTCATCTCTACACAGAGCTCAAGACTAGCCTGGGCTATATGAGACTCTATCTCAAAAAAAAGGCTTCCAGGGCTGGAGAGATGGCTCAGTGGTTAAGAACACTGGTTGTTCTTGCAGAAGACCCAAGCTCAAATCCCAGCACCCATATAGCAGCTAACAACTGTCTGTGACTCCAGTTCCAGGGGATCCGACAGCCTCTTCTGTCCTCCGCAGGCACTGCATGACACGGGTGCACTTACCTACATGCAGGCATAACACTCATACACATAAAATAAAAATAATATATAAAATATTTTTTGAAAACGCTCCCTTTCAGCCCCGCCTCTCCACATACTGTCAAGAAACACAAATTCATTTACATATGTAGATACAAAGGGCAGCAGATTTTTCAATATTTTCTAATGTCAGGGTAATCTCAGGGGAACATACCTAGGAAGCTGGTTGAAGAAATGGTAAACTGTTTCAGTAACTGACTGTGGAAACTTTGTTAAGTATATTTACTAACAGACTAAATGGGTAAGCAATCCATGGGTTAGCCTCTTTTGTTCACCCAAGGATTTCTTTTCAATGAAGAAAGACATTTTGTTCGACCACTTACCACTTCTACACTGATTCTCATCACATGTAAATGAGTTAGAAATCTCAAAGGACTCATGTCTTTTTAAATTAAAATGTCTTACATTTTTAGCTTTTGTTGCACACACACATGCATGCCACAGGATGCAGAGATCAGAGGACAGCCCCTGGGGAGTAGGCTCTCTTCTTCAACTGTTCCTGAGATTGAACTCAAGTTGTCAGGCTTGGAGGAAAGTGCCTTTACTCACTGAGCCATCTCTCCAGCATAGGACTGACTCATAGTTTATCAACTCTTTTTAGGTTTATTGTTGTTGTTGGTGGTGGTGGTGGTGGTATTTTTGAGACAGGGTCTCCCTGTAGCCCCAACTGACCTGGAACTCACTATATAGACCAGGCTGGCCACGAATTTACAGAGATCCACCTGCCTCTGCCGCCCAAGTGCTGGAATTAAAGGCATGTGACACCATGCACAGCTAGTTTTTCAATATTTTTTAAGATGAGGTCTTACTGTGGTCCCTAGACTGACTTTGAACACTCTTGCCTCACTTTCCCAGGTGTTGTCATACGACATAGATGTGTGGTATCATGTCTGACTTTATCAACTCTTCAACTCCCATACATTTCATTAGGGCCGTTTAATCATGGTCATAGTCTTTCAGAGGTGGGTATGGTGGTGCACACTTGTAGCCCTTGTACTTGGGAGAATGAGGCAGAGGAATGCAAGTTCCAAGTCAGCCTGGATATACAGCAAGATCCTCTCTCAACACAACAATACACTGCTTTATGATAGCTGTTAGTCTTGACAAAGCCCTCTTTCTGAGCCAGTCTAATCATAAAAGTGAACAAGAAATTCATTCACCATATTTCTATTTGTAATTTTCTTTTATGAAGAAAATGTCAGTTCAATACTAGCTTGGAAAACTGGTTAAAATCTTACCCCAAGTAAGTCAGTGTTCCTGCAGATAACAAAGCAGAATTTTAAAGTAAGTTCCCACCTTGTTTTTTGTTTGCATTTAAATATATTTTTTGCCAGGCATGGTGGTGCATGCCTTTAATCCCAGCGCTCAGGAGGCAGAGGCAGGCAGATCTCTGTGAGTTCAGTCCCCAGCAGTCATGTAGAAAGCCAAGTGTGATGGTGTGCACTTGCAATCCCAGGGCTGGGAAGATAGAGACGGAGGGTTTCTGCAGCCTGATGGCCGACCAGCCCAGCCCCAATGTTGCACTCCAGGCCAAATCGAGACCCCATCTCAAAGGAGATGGATGGTGTTTTTGAGGATGACACTTGAGGGAGGTTGTCCTCTGGTCTCCACATGCACATGCACACACATGCTTACACATCTACACACACACACACACACACACAGAGAGACACAGATACAAACCTAGCTTAGATCTACCTCCAAAACTAGGCTTGGGCATAGAGGATATATGGGCCATGGCATCAATAAGATGAGGATGTGCTCAGTAGGGTTTAGATATAGGGGGTGTGCTCAGTAGGACTGTGAGTTTGAGGCCACCCTGGTCTCCATAGTGAATCCAGGCCAGCTAGGGCTACAGGTGACCCTGTCTCAAAAAGACCAAAAAATAATAATAATAAATATATATATATACTTTTTTGATTTATCTTTATGTGTATGATTGTTTTATGTGTATGTGTACGTCCACCCATGCGTCCACTGGAACTGGAGTTAAAGATAGCTGTGAGTCTCCATGTGGGTTAGGGTTCTAGTAGAGCAGCCAGTGAGTGCTCTTGACGGCAGAACCATCTTTACAGCCTGTTTATTTTTTAAAAGACAGGGTTTCATGAAGCCCAGGCTGGCCTGGAACTCAATAAGACATAACAGGGGATGACCTTGGAGTTCAGATCCTTTCCTCCATTACTGGGATTATAGGCACGTGCCACCACACCCAACTTTATCCAGTTCTGGATGAAACCTGTGGCTTTTGTGAATGCTTAGCAGTCTAACAGCTGAGCTACAACCCAAGTCCCAACCCCCTTTTATTTGACATGCATCACCACACCCAGCTGGCACAATTTTTGTTAGAAGTATTCAAAGTACTTAATTTATGAAATTTTAACTATCATTTTGAACATAAAAAGAAAACCCGGAGGTTAGCTTTAGAGATGATGGCTTCTTTTGTGACTGACAGTTAAAAACATGTAAAGCCTTAAAAACTTAGTCCTTCGTTGTACTGAAAAAACTTTTTTCTAGTAGACAATGTCTTGTTACAAATTAAGTCTTCAATTCATCATTTAGAAAGTTTAAACTGCTAAAACATCTATTTAAAAAATCCAAGATAAATATCCAAGTTTAACTGACCTACCAGTTATTACAGTTATTAACGGTTTGAGCATACTCGAATGTATTACAACTCTTCCATAAAACTTAAGCTTTTCGCTCCAAAAAGAAAAAAAAAAAAAAAATCAGTTTGCCTGCCTGTTTGTAAACGGATAGTCACAGCTAAAATAATCTAAAATGATGTGCTTATCAGATCTTATTTTATAAACATTGTCTTCTAGGCCAACTGAAACTAACTTTGAAGAGACAAACTTAAAAACTGGCTTGTCGGCTTGAGCTTTTTTTTGGCTACTTCTAGAGTCAGCTCTTTTTAGTTTCAAAATTTGCATGGCTGCCTCTTTGATTTTACTTCAAGCATGGGTCTTAAATCATGCAGAAATTGCTCGAAGTTTGCTCGAACACAGTGGCCTTAGGTTTAGGCTTATTTGCATCTTTACCATAGCATAAAGTCCATTCTTTAGGTACCTCAGCGCTGCCGCGCGTTTCGTTTTTGGGTGCTGTTTACTTAGTTACTGTATGGGTTATTCCTGCTCTTTATCCCCGGCCCCCGTGGCAGTTCTGACTCGGCACGATCTGGGCGTTGTTTTAGCCACAACTCTCCTCGCTTTCAAGACAACACTGGAACTGCGCCGTGCTCCCCGGCGGCTCCCGGTTCTACAGGCAGACGCGGTCTCCACGTCATTGGCGCACGTGCAGGCGCGGGGCGGCGGGAAGCGGTCTGCGCGCGGCCGCGGTAAACAAGCGCCGCGCATGCGCCGTGACTTCACCCCGTTTGGCTTTTGGTATTTACTTTGTGCCAGCTACGCGACCATGGGGATCAGAATCCTCCACACAATGGCACGGTCGGGGCTGAACGAGGCCCGGCTACGGGAGGAAAAGAAAAGAAAAAAACAGTGGAGGGTGGGCGGTCCACAAACGCCACATAAAACATTCTCAGCCACGACATTTCCCCGAACATCGCGAGATCTCCACGGCCTGGACGTGACCTCCCCGCCTGTGGTCTGTGCGCATGCGTGGGACTTTTTGGCGCGCAGACAGTTCAAAACTTCCTGCTTGGTCACAAGTTGCCAAGTTTGGCGCTTGGGAAATGGTTATTAAATTGATACGGTGGATTCAAACCCATAGCAACTCGTTCTTTGCGGGGGGGCGTTCGTTCTAGATTTCACTTTATTGTGTATAATCGTCCCCGCTTCTGTCCGTTTATTGGTCATGAACTCTGGGAACATTTAAAGATAGAAGAGGTAAATGAAGGCAACAACCATATCGCATACTTAAACGAGGCTAGAAAGAACTGTAGGCAATGGAGGTCGCTCTCCTTAAAATACCTATGCATATTTATAAACAAGAAGGCAGTGTGTTACATGTCATCTACAAGGTGCAAGAGTGAAATTGAAATGTCCTTGAGTGGGTGGAACAAAGGCGCTAGACAAAGGGTGTCACGAGCAAGAGCTGACATGGATACTGGGTAAAAGAGTTGTGATAAACCGGAGTCAAGAATGTTGGAAGTGTGCAGGGACTTGACTGACCTGGCCTCTTTTCTCTCCCAGGGCACATGGAACACCTGCACAAGCACTGGATTTTGTTCTGCGACTCTTAAAGGTACTACCCAACACCTGAAGCGTCCTTCCAATGAAATCCATCTCCCAACTTCACCCTTCAGCTAGAATGAAATGTGGATTTCATAGAATCAGTGAAATTTAGCCAACAAGTTATTCGTTGTGTTACTGAATCATCACGGAAGTAGGTATTTCTAGTCTACAGCCTCCTGGTTCTGTAAATCCTAGAGGCCCCCTTGATATGGAGAGCAGTGCTGTATATAGCATAGCCTGTATTCAGTCATTCCTTGGTATTCCTAGGATTGTTTTCAGGAATACTCAAGTCCATGATGCTCAAGTCCCTTCTATAATTTAGGGTGTACTATCTACATATAACCTATGTTCATCTTACTGTAAACTTTAAACGATCTCTAGATTACTTGTAATATGTAAACATTGCAAATAGTTCTTGTACTGTATTATTTAGGGAGTAACGATAAGAAAAGCAGTAAGTATAGATGCAGGATTTTGGCTGAATCTTACGATGTGAAAACCATGGTTATGGAGTTTACCCCCCCCCACGCCCCCCGAATGCGTTTGAAAAATAGCTCTCTGTGTTGCCCAGGTGTTTAAATGGGCCCAAATTCTTGGCTCAAGTAGTCCTCTTTCTTCAACCTTCAGCGTAGCTGAGATTACAGGTGTGTGCTACTGTACCCAGTTCTGACTGTATTTTGTTCCTTCTCCTCTATAGAGTACAACATAAAAAGAGTGTTGCGCGGGGTGGGGGTGGGGGGCCTGGGTTCGATTCCCAGCACCCACTTGGTGGCTGCGAACCGTCCTTAACTCCAGTTCCAGGAAAATCCGAAGCCCTCTTCTGACCTCCGCGGCATTGCACAACACAGGTGCACTCATTTACATGCAGGCAATACATTCATACACATAAAATAAAATTTAAAAAATAGAAAAAAGACTGATAAGGGGCTGAAGAGATGAATCAGCAGTTAAGAGCACTGGCTGCTCTTACCGAGCACCTGGGTTTGGTTCCCAGCATCCACATGGCAGCTAACAATTGTCTGTAATCACCGGTTTCAGGGGATCTGACACCCTCTTCTGACCTCAGTGGACATTGCGTGACATTGGTGCCTTACATGCATGCAGACAATACACTTAGACATATAAAATAAAAATATTTTTAAAAATACTAATGGGGCCGGGGGTGGTGTCGCACGCCTTTAATCCCAGCATTTGAAGCAGAAGCAGGCGGATCTCTGTGAGTTCAAGGCCAGCCTGGTCTACATAGTGACCAGGACAGCTGGGGCTACAGGGAGACCCTGTCTCAAAAAGATCAAAAAAAAAAAAAAAAGACTAATGAAATGCATAATTTTACTAGGCTCAGCAATGTAGCTTCCTTCATCTGTAAGAAAACTAAAAATAGAAAGCCATAGGATTAAAGCTGGTAGTGGTGGAGATGGATCTAGTTTATTAATATATAGAGGGAAGTACTTGGAAACCAGGTATAGTGTCCCAGCTACTCAGGAGGCTGAAGCTGGAGGGCTGCTTGAGCCGAGGAAGTTGAGGCCAGCCTAGAAAGCAGCCTGAGAGGTGGAGGGAGGGAGGTAGGAATGAGGGAAGGAAGGGGCAGACGTGATAATCCCCTACCCAGAAGTTCTCCCTAGAGCACTTTATTGAAAGCCATCTCTTGGCATGTGGGCCATATGGGTTAAATTCATAGGAAAACCGTGCAGGAAAAACTTATAGATACAATAGAATAGGATTTCTGGACTGAAGCCTAGGTATTTTGTTTTAGGGTTGGGATCACAGCATCTAAGTGTAATGTCATAGCAAGTGTTTAGAATTGGGAATCTTGCTGGGCATGGTGGCATATGCCTTTAATCCCAGCACTCAGGAAGCAGAGGCAGGCAGATCTCTGTGAGTTCAAGACCAGCCTGGTCTACTTAGTGAGTTCCAGGTGAACTGGAGCTGCAGGGAGACCCTGTCTCAAAAAGACCAAAAATAAATAAATAAATGAATAGGTAAATAAATAAAAATAGAATTGGAATCTAAAACTTGGGGTTTGACTTTTGGATCTATCCGTCATGCTATATGACCTTTTAGAAGCTCAGTTTCCCTATTTACAAAATAAGGGTAACAGTTTTGTGGTGTTTGTTTTTTGTTTTTTTTTTTTTTTTGTGTGTGTGTGTGTGTGTGTGTGTGTGTGTTTAAAAAGCCATAGGGGCCATATGTAATGGTGTTTGCCTTTATTCCCAGCACGTGAGGCCAGCCTGGTCTACATAGCAATTTCCAGGCTGGCCAGAACTACTTAGTGAGACCCTGTCCCAAAGCAACAACAACAACAAAATAAAAAGCAAAACAAAAAGGATAAGGGGACTGAAGAGATGGCTCAGCGGTTAAGAGCACTGGCTACTCTTGCAGAGGACTAGGTTCAATTCCCAGCACCCACATGGCAGCTAACAACCTTCTGTAACTCCAGTTCCAGGGGATCTGATGCCCTCTTCTGATCACCATGGGCATTGCCACATTTGGTACACTTACATACATGTAGGTAAAACTCTCATACACATAAAATAAAAATAATAAAATATTAAAAAAATAAGGGTAAGGATACTTATGGGATTATTGTAGTGACAAGATGAGGTACTGTGGAGAGAGTGTGAGTTAGCAACATAGAACTTGGTATGTAGTAAATGATCAATAAAGAAGAGTTTCTTTCCTGAGCACAATTTTTGCAAGATACCCACCTACTGAATTGTGGGTGCTGCATGGGACATAGGGTTATCCATATTTAGGACCTTTTTGGGGGAGCTGGAGAGATGGCTCAGTGGTTAAGAACATTGACTGTTCTTGCAGAAGACCCCAGTTCGAATCCCAGCATCCACATGGCAGCTAACAACTGTAACTCCAGTTCCAGGGGATCCAACAGCCTCTTTTGTCCTCCACGGGCATTGCATGACACGGGTGCACTTACCTATGTGTAGACAATACACACATAACACACATTAAATTAAAAAAAAATTTTTAAAGCCTTTTTTGTTATTCTAGGTTTGTTTGTTTTTGTTTGTTTGTTTGTTTGTTTGTTTGTTTTTCAGATAGGGTCTCCCTATAGCCCCAGCTGGCCTGGTACTCATTGTGTAGACCAGGCTGGCCTTGATCTCACAGAGATTCACCTTCTTCAGTTTCTTGGGATTGCTGGGATTAAAGGTGTATGCCACCATGCCTGGTTTAGGAAGACTTTTAAGACAGTTTCCCTACCTTGCTTGTGTATTAGAATTACCTGGGAGCTTTAAAAGAGGCTGACTCCCAGGTTTTACCCCAGATCAATTAAATCAGAATATCTGGGAGCTTGGACATCAATTTATTTAAAGTGTGAGTGTGTGTGTGTGTGTGTGTGTGTGTGTGTGTGTGTATTGGAAACAGGGCCTGAAACTTGCTATGTAGATCTGGCTGGCCTCAATTTCCCAGAGATCTGCCTGTCTCTGCCTCCCTAGTGCTGAGATTGCAGGCATGTGCTTCGATCCTTGGCCCTCATCAGTATTTTTTTAAATATTATTTTTATTTTATGTGTATGAGTGTAATACCTGGGTGTAGGTAGGTGCACCAATGTCGTGTAATGCCTGTGGAAGTCAGAAGAGGGCGTTGGATCCCCTGGAACTGGAGTTAAGGATGGTTCGTAGCCACCGTGTGTGTGCTGGAAATTGAACTCGGGTCCTCTGCAAGAGCAGTCAGTGCTCTTAACCACTGAGCCATCTCCCCAGCGCCCCCTTACCACAGTATTTTAAGTTGTTTGATAATTAAGGTTAAGATCCACTCTTTTTAAAATAAAATCGCATTTGTGTGTGTGTGTGTGTGTGTGTATGTGTGTGTATGAGTGTATTGCCTGCATGTAAGTTAGTTCACCCATGTCGTGCAGTGCCCATGGAGGTCAGAAGAGGACGTCAGATCCCCTGGAATTGGAGACACAGAAGTTGTTAGCTGCCATGCAGGTGCTGAGATTCAAACCTGGGTCTTCTGTAAGAATAGCCAGTCTTAAATGCTGAGCTATCTTTCTAGCCCACTTCAGATCCACTATTTCAGGAGCTCCCTCTAGAAAGTGAAAAGAAATTAGATCTCCCGATCTGGTGGTTATATATTTGAAATTTTTCTGGAGGAATATAAGGCTAGAGCTTGAGATGAGCAGAGCTGGGCACTGTGAGGTCTATTGTGGAAGGAAGCAGCTGTGATATGTTGGCTTGGAAACAATGTTGTCATCACTGTAGATGCCTGGAGCATACAAGCTTTGCCATAGTGAGGGAAGACTTTGAACCTAGCAAGCTGGCCCTTTGATCTAGCTCAGGCAACACAGGTGATAGTGTCTTGGTTTCTTTGCCACCTGGTGGGGCAGGATGAAGTTTTACAACCTGCTGTGCTCTATTGACTGGGGAGGACTTGAAGGCCTCAGCAAAGTGTGTGCATGGGTGGTCCTCTCCTGGGAGGGCAGGTGGGAATGCTTTTTTAGTAGGCATTGATAATGAAGCTTTTCAACAAAGCCTATCAGTGATTGAGCTGATCTGACACACACTGGTTTTCTCATTTGACAGACCAGAAAAGTGAGGCTCAAGCTTATCTTTGTAGTCTTTCAATGTATACAGAATCACTTGGAAAAGGAGAGGAAGAATGTCTGGGAGAGATCTCAATTTATGTTTTTTGATTTGTTTTGTTTTTTAAATATGAGGTTTCATATATCTCAGGCTAGCGTCAAACTTGCTGTGTAGCTGAGGATGACTTTGACCGTCTGGTCTTCCTGCCTTCACATACATTTTCTCAGCCCCCCCCCCCCACTGGTCTTTTTGAGACAGGGTCACCTTGTAATCCCAGCAGGTCTGGAACTCACCATATACTAGCCAAGAATATTTTGCTTCATGGTAGAAACTGTCTTTAATTGGGTACCTTTTTTAGGAAAGCAAGCACACATGTGAAAGATAGTCATCATGAGACAGGCATGCTGGAGAGCTTGGGCTCTGTCTCAGGTGATTCTTTTTTTAAATTGATAAATTTATTGTGTATGTGTGTATGATATGTGTGTAGGTACATGCATGCCGGGGAATGGATGTGGAGGTCAGAGGACAACTTTGTGGAATAGGTTCAAGACCTTTATGTGGGTTCCAGGGATCGAACTCAGGTTATCAGGCATATGCTTTGCCCACTGAGCCATCTTGTTGCTGTCAGGTGATTTTTATGAGTTAGAGACCCAAAGAGAAGTAATGCTGGAGGCATGTGGCAGCTTGTTCAACTGCTGAAGACCACTGGTGCTTTTGCACAGGGGGCAAATCAAAATGCTTAGGCCCAACTGGAAAAAAAAAAAAAAAGTGTAGTTAGGAGGTCTGCGGTTATAGTCCTAGTGTTAGAGCACATGCTTAGTATTTATAAGACCCCAAGTTCAGTCTCCAGTGGAAAAACCAAACCCTCAGCTCCCACCCAATAAAAAACTGGTAATCATATATTTTTTGCTTTGTATATGTTAAATGTCTATTGGACTTTGTTCAAAAGTTTCATATTATATCAGTTTGGTGGGGAGGTGTTCTGATCCTCCACATAGGGTTTCTAGTCATCTTTCTGCCTGCTTCTTCAGGAGGAATATTAGAATTCTTTCTATTTAAAACAAAGTTTTATGGGGCTGGAGAGATGGCTTAGTAGTTCAGAGCATTGGCAGCTCCTGCAGAGGACTTGGGTTCAGTTCCCAGCACCCACAGGCCTGCTAACAACCATCTGTAACTCCAGTTCCAGGGGATCCAGCGCCCTCTTCTGACCTCCATGGGCATTGCACCACACAGGTGCACTTACACACATGCAGACAATACATTCACACACGTAAAATAAAAAATAAAATATTTTTCGCCGGGTGTGGTGGCGCACGCCTGTAGTCCCAGCACTCGGGAGGCAGAGGCAGGCGGATCTCTGTGAGTTCAAGGCCAGGCCGGTCTACATAGTGAGTTCCAGGACAGCTGGGGCTACAGGGAGACCCTGCTTCAAAAAGACAAAAAATAAATTAAAAAAAAATTAAAATAAGATATTTTAAAATGTTTTATTAAATAAATAAATGTAGGAATACGTATTTATTTTATGTGCATGAGTATATTGCTTGCGTGTGTGTAAGTGCACCAGTGTTGTACAGTACCCAAGGAGTTCAGAAGAGGGTATTAAATTCCCTGGAACTGGAGATACAGTTGTGGGCTGCCATGTGGGTGCTGGGAATGGAACCTGGGTCCTCTGCAAGAGCAGCTAGTACTCTTAACTGCTGAGCCATCTCTCCAGCCCCAGAAATAGAATTCTACTTAGACTAGCTTCCTTGGACACATTACTTTTCTTTGTAATTTTTTTCCTCTACAGTAAGTATTTGGGGTCTGGTGCTATGAAGTGTGATGATGATAAGATGTATCTACCATTATTGGGGTTGCAGCCTCCAGAGTACTGAATGGAGGAGTGTCATCATGGAGACATCAGGAAGCATCAGGAAGTTCTCAGGTCAACATTCAGAATGTTCTGTTCTTTGCCTTGAAGAACAAAGGAGAAAGAATTTCAGGGGTTGCTAGGATTGGAGGTTGCTAAAATGGGTACAGGGAGGGGATGGAGAGATGGCTCAGGGGTTAAGAGCACTGACTGCTCTTGCAGAGGACCTGGGTTCTATCCCCAGCACCCACATGGTGGCTACAAACCGTCCTTAACTCCGAAACCCTCTTCTGACCTCCACAGCATTGCACGACATGGGTGCACTCATATACATGAACATAAAATAATAAAATATTTTTTTTTAAATGGGTACAGGGAAAAGACAGTTGTTTTGTCTAATTTCTAGCAAGAATGATGGTAAAATGGTCAAATACCATAGGTGTTAGGATACTCTATGGAAGCCCAGTCATTGGAACTATGAAGTGGGTGAAGAACAGACTCTGCAGAAGCAAGTAGAAAGATAGGAGACTTGGGGTGAAGAGAGAAGCAGGTTCAGAGTTACAAGAGGGGCCAGGGATATATATACTCAATTGGTTATATGCTGGGCTGGAATGCATGAAGCCTTGGGTTCAATGCCCAGTATTGATGATGCATGCTGGTAATCTCAGGCTGCATAGTGAGCCCTCAAGGCCACATGAGACCCTTCCCATCCCCCTACCATAAAAAGATTATACAGGGCTGAATATTCTAATTAGTAATGTGTTTTTTTAATATTTTATTTTTATTTTATGTGTATGTGTGTATTGCCTGCATGTAGGTAAGTGCACCTGTGTCATGCAATGCCATGGAAGACAGAAGAGGCTGTTGGATCCCCTGGAACTGGAGTTACAGACAGTTAGCTGCCATGTGGGTGCTGGGATTCAAACCCAGGTCTTCTGCAAGAACAGAAAGTGTTCTTAACTGCTGAGCCATCTCTCCAGCCCCATAAGTAATGGCATCACCCAAGTTTTAATTTAGGATAAAAGAACCAACATATACAAGATGTTTTTATTTATTTGTGTTTTATTTTATGTGTGAGTGTTTTGCCTATGTGTATGTAAGTGCACACATGCATGTAATGCCTGCAAAAGCCAGAAGAGGGCATCGGATCCCCCTGGAACTGGAGTTACAGACAGTTGTTAGCCACCATGTGGGGGCTGGGAACTGAACTCAGGTCCTCTGCAAGAGTAGCCAATGCTCTTAACCACTGAGAGCCATCCTCCGGCACTGCCCCCACAAGATTTTTTTTTTTTTTTTTTTGGTCTTTTTGAGATAAGGTCCCCCTGTAGCCACAGCTGGCCTGGATTCACTATGGAGACCAGGCTCACCTCAAACTCACAGAGGTCTGCCTGCCTCTGCCTTCTGAGTGCTGGGACTAAAGACGTGCACGACCACACCTGGCCCACAAGATGTTTTTAAAGAAACAGTGCGGGGGCTGGAGAGATGGCTCAGCAGTTAAGAGCACGGACTACAAGGTGCTGGGACTACAGGTGTGTGCCACCACTCCCAGCAACTAAATAAAAAATTTTTTTTTGTCTTTTTGAGACAAGGTATCCTTGTAGCCCAAGCTGTCCTGGAACTTTTTTTTTTTTTTTTAATATTTTATTATTTTTATTTTATGTGTATGAGTACACGTATTGCCTGCATGTATGTGAGTGCACCCATGTCGTGCAATGCCTCGGTGGTCAGAAGAGGACTTCTGATTCTTCTGGAACTGGAGTTAAGGACGGTTCATAGCCACCATGTGGGTTCTGGGAATCGAACCTGGGTCCTCTGCAAGAGCAGTCAGTGCTCTCAGCTGCTGAGCCATCTCTCCAGCCCCCTGTATTTTTAATTTTTAACAATTATTATTTATTAACTGAGATAGGATCTTACTTTGTAGCCCAGGCTGATCTTAGAACTTATGGCAATCTTCTTGCCTCAGCCTCCTGAGTGCTAGAATGACAGGAAGGTGCCATCATATCCCACTTGATGCTTCTTTTGTTGTTGTTGTTTTTATTTTTATTTTTTGAGATAGGGCCTCCCTGTAGTCCCAGCTGGCCTGGAACTTGCTATGTAGACCAGGCTGGCCTTGAACTCACAAAGATTAACACCCCCCCCCCACATGCGCTCAGTGCTGGGATTAAAGGCATGTGCCACCACACCCAGCTTCACTTGATACTTCTTGTTCTTAAGGTCCCTGCGGTTCCTCTGAGTCTTATAATGAATCCCTATCCTCTTGTGTGTGTGTGGCTTTCTGTTTTTCCCTAGGCAGCAATATTACATGCCTAGTGAGTGAGTCTCGCTTTGCTGCTTTTGTCCTAATGAAACCACATACCTTCACATCACACATGTGTAGCAAAACACATTCAGCTCACTGTGGCTTGAGTACCTCACAGAACTTGGGTCTTTTGTCTAGACTTTTCACTGCATATTAGTCATCTGTTATTGTACAACAAAGTAACCCCACAATTTAGTACTTCAAGACAATGAAAGTTCTCTCATGGTTTCTTTGGGCCAAGAACTTGGGAGCAGCTTATGCAGGATGGCTCTGAGAATCTCAAAGCTGTAGCTGAGTTGTAGGCTAGGACTGTTTTCACTGGGGGGCTACAGAATCTTCAGGTTCCAAGGTAGCTCACTTACACAGCTGGCTGCTTGGGGAGAAGCCTGTTTTCTCCAGTAGGACTCTTCAGAAGACCACAAAGCTCTGTAGCATGATAGCTTACTCCAGTAGGAATTCAAGAGGAAGAGAGCCAGAAAGTCTCCTTAGACTCTTACCTCACAGGTTGCTTATAGTCCCTTCTGGTACATTCTGTTTCTTAGGAACAAGTAAGGGTCCAGCCTACATTCAAGGAGGTGATTAGGTGTCACCATTTGAAGAGAAGACTATCAAAGAACTTGTGTTTGTGGACGTCTTTAATGTCAACCTCTCGGGTGCCAAGGGGCAGAAAAACGGAAAAAACAACAAATGTCTAATCCACTTTCAATAGGGTAGTTTATTCATTTCTTTTCCTCCCTTTCTCCTTTTCCTCCTTCCCTTTCTGTTTTAAAAACATTCTTGTGTATGAGTGTTTTGCTTGTATAAATATAAGTGCATGCAATGCCTATGGAGGCCAGAAGAGGATGTTGGATCCCCTGGAACAGGAATTACGAATGGTTATTAGGCTAGCTCAGTGGCACATGACTAATCCCACTCACTTAAGAGGCTGAGGCAGAAGAATCTTTGAGTTTGAGGACAGACTGAGCAAAAATAAACGAACAAGTAAGTAGTACATATCCAGCTTATGTGATAATTTTCTAAAGGTGGAAAATGTTAAATTAATAGTTGAATTTCTGGCCTGTTATGGGGGCTTAACACTTGTAATCCTAGCACTGGAGAGGCAGAGGCAGAAGGATCATGATTTGAAGGCTAGCCTGGGCTATATAATGAGGGTATTCTGAGTCTCATATTTTCAAAAAAGGAACTAACCTAACCCTAAATATAAAAAAGTAGTTAATACTGGGCTTACAAGATGGATTACGTGAGTTGCGATCTCTAGCACCCATGTCAAAAGCTGGGCCCAGCAGTGCACATCCGTAACCCAGTGCTGAAGCAGATATTGGTGGGTCACTGGAGTGGCTGTCTGGCCAGCCTCGCCAAATCAGTGAGCTGCAGGTTCAGTGAGAGAGAGAGATCGAGAGAGAGAGAGAGAGAGAGAGAGAGAGATAGAGAGAGAGAGAGAGAAGATCGGGAGAGGAGAGAAGAGAGAGTCAGACAGACCCTGTCTCAAAAAATAAAGTGCAGAGTGATTGAGGACACCCAAAATCCACTTCCACCCCTGGCCTCCACACAAATGCACATATATGTACAATACACACACACACACACACACACCATATGCACAAGTAGAAAATACATCTTAGGCTAAGAATATTGAACGAAGAAGGAGCTTCAGTTTCAAAGAATTAGACTCCAGCTCTGCCCTGCCACCTCTCTTTTAAATGTATGAATACCTACATGTGTGTATGTACACCACATGCATGCCTAGTGCCTGCAGAGGCCAGAAGATGGCATTATATCCCCTGGAACTGGAGTTACAGGTGGTTGTGAGCTGCCATATGGGTGCTGGGAACTGAACTTGGATCCTCTTCAAGAGCAGCCAGTTCTCTTAACCACTGAACCATCTCTCCAGCCCCTTTATCTTCTCTCTCTCTCTCTCTCTCTCTCTCTCTCTCTCTCTCTCTCTCCTCTCTCTCTCTCTGTGTTTAGGTTAGAGGACAACTTTAAGGAGTTGCTTCTCCATGTGGGTCACCAAGATGGAACTCAGGAGCCATCTTGCCAGCCAGAGTATAGCTAGTTTAAATTCCCGATTTGGGGGTACTTCAAATGCTGTCCAATTATTATTTAAATTAATACTAAAAAATTTGTGGCCTACATTCAAATGTATTTTGTATTTCTCCTGTAACATTGCAAAGCGTTTGCAAGCTGGTTCTCCTGTCAATATTCAGGAGTTTTTCTTACATATATCTCTCTGAAGGCTGTTGGGAGTTACTGTGAAGGCTGTTGGCTTCCCAAAAGGCAGATGTTTCATCTTGAGGAAAAATACCTTTCTTGTGTTCTTCCTACCACTCTGTGAAGGCAGTCCTCAATTATCATACATAGCATTTTCCTTTAGTTCAATAAAGAGATTTTTAAGGAGAGCAGTGGAGGGAGGATGGGAAGAGTCACTTTCTTACCATAAATGAGTTCCTAGAATCCTGTTAATATGTAGGGTTAGCAACATTCCAGTTAGGAAGAAGTCCACAAGGTAAATTTGCTTTTGCAAATGCTAATTGAAAGCCTTCCTCAGCAATCCAGTCCTTTCCCTTCTTTCTTTAGTCAGCAGGGTCCCATGGTGGCTGGTTTTGAAAGTAATTATCCCCTGAGCAGTTACCTAGCACCATGGCAACCCAAACGTCAGCAAAATGGGAGAGACCCACACAAAATAGCTGCGGCCGGCCTTCTATCGTTCCTCCAGTTCAGCCCTGCCTGAAACCTGCTGCAGATGGGGCTAAAGGCATGAAGGCCTGTACACCCAAAAATTTCTGTGTGTTGATATGAATTTTCCCATGAGCAGAGATGTAGGAGCATATAGTAAACTATGTCATGAAATCCCCTCTCCCCCGGGAAAACCCCCATATAGCATATTTAAAGGGTGGGAACAAATGTCAGAATAATACAAAAAGTATTTGTGCTTCTAAGGTTAGTAGAGTAGGTTGATAGTAGAGGAAGTCAGAGCCCAAATATATGATCTGATTTATGTTTAAACACAAAGGAATACTTTTAAAATATTTTTATTTACCTGAAATAGAAAAATGGCTTTAACCGAGCTGAAGGGCATGTAATGCTGTCCGTGGTGCTGAACACCCCACTCCTCAGATGTGCTCTAAGAAAGGTTAGGGAACACCTTGCCATGTCGGGATTCTGAGAATAGAAAAGAAAAAGAGTTGGAGAGAAGGCATCATTTACTCCCCATAGGAAGCAGCTCTGAATGCTCAGAATAAAATTACCTGATGAAGAAAAGAAAAAAAAGTGAGGAAGGCAGAGGTCTGTGTGATAGAGTCTTGTCCTTTTCATATGGAGATTTTTTTGATCAGAGCCAATCAGGTCAGAGATTTCTGCTGCTTTGCTCCTGAAAAGAGAAGTGGGGGAAGGGAGAGAGAAGATGGCCACATTTCCCCTTGAGCCACATGATCCATTTCCCATGTGACCCATTCCAGAGCCTTGGAAAGAAGAAGGGAGGGGCACCAAGAGAGTGGGGCTGGGGGTGGGAGAATGGTTTCACAGTCAACCGTGCACGGCGTCATCTTGTCTCCCTACCAGGAAGCAGGCTGTGAGCCGGGGGGAAGGCAGAGGACAGATATGAATGTGTTCCCAAGATTTCCTGGTGGTCTCTGGCATTCTCCAAAGTCCTGTCCGAGAGTCGTTCCTGACCAAGAAGACCCTCTGAAATCAAGTCCCGATGAAGGTATGTGAAAGACTGAATGTTTGGCATCATAGCTGAAATTCGATTCAGGATATAATACCTTTCCTCTTTTTTTTTTCCAGGCAATTTTGAGATTTTTGTTAAGGCTTCGATGCTCATTAGGGGCTTTAGGTTTGTTATGGGTCCAGAAAAGATACCTAGGTAATTCTGTAAGATGAATACTTCTCTAGCATAAGCAACTGTTGAGAAAAAATTAGTTGGGAATTGTATATAGTAATTGAAAATAAAACAGTAAACTCATTGATGAAAAGGTCTTCCCACCCTTGAATCCTGGAAAGAGGGAGGGGGAACACTGCTGAGAACAGCTAGATTTCACTGTCACTATAATAAACCCCATCTCATCTCTTCCAGCTGTTAGTCTGTGTCGGTGTTCCAGAGGTTACTGTCGGTAGCTTAGGAAGCCTGAGTGGGCATCATACTGTTCCTTTGTGCTGTGCTCTCATCTTCCTTCTGAGGTTCCTGGTGCCAGGAACACTGCTCATTCCCCCAGCCCTGGACACTAGACTGCCACAGAATTCAAATTCCACAGCTTACAGAAAGCCCTGTGGAAGTTCTTAAAGGAATCTACCAAAGTTAAAGGCTCCAATCTGTCCTGAACTCACCTTGTTTTCTTTGAGTATTTCTTCCCAGCACAAAGAGAAGAGCTAGCACATTCATTTGATTTCATTTATTTGACAAATCCTTAGGAAGTTCTTGCTATGTGCCAGCCATTATTCCAAGCATAAGGAATCGTTTAACCATAGAACACAGTTTAGAGATAAATGGAGGTGCAGAGGATTTCAGGAACTTTCATGAGGTTACTTAGCACCTAATGGAACCAGAATTTAATCCCAAGACTCACAGTGCTGGTTCGTAACCACTGAGCCCTGCTGCCTGCCTGCTTGTGTTAGCTCAAATGATGTCAGCAGTCTATTTGGCTACGAATTTTGTTCAGCTGATGCTGCTAGAAGATTGAGTCAGTTTGCCTGGCTGAAACAGATCCCCAGTGAAATCTGTATTTAATCTTGAATTTTCCCAGTAGTCACATTCTATACCCCCAAATAACCCAGTAAGTAATCACTTGTTCTCTTCCCCTGGTGCTACATAGATACCTAGTAGTAAAACATGATGTTACTATGGTGACCTGATATCTAAAGGGAAGAAGATAAATCTGGAATTGCATCATGTTTTTTTTTTTAATTGAACCTAGAAACATGCTTCTACTTCAGAACCTAGTAACATCCCCAGCCTAAGCATATTGCCTTTATCTGATTCTCAAAATGAATACATTAAGCCATGTGTGCTGCCTTATGCTTATAATCTCGACAACTGGGTGGTGGAGGCAGGAAGATTGTCACAAATTTGAAGCCAGCTTGGGCTAGAGAGTAAGATCCTATCTCAGAAAAAAAAAAAAGATTAAAAACTTTAAAAATTACACATATTAGCTATGATGTGTGACTGGATTTGTTGCTTTAAAATAACATCTTGCTTTTAAAACAAGGATACCTCTTTGGAAATTATTTTACACCCTTTTAAAAAATATTTATTTCATTTTAAATTATGTGTATGTGTCTGTGTGTGGGTTTGTGCTTGTGGGTGCGGGTACTCTCAGAGGCCAGAAGAGGGTGTCAGATCCCTTGGAGCTGGAGTTACAAGTGATTGTGAGCTGCTTGTTGTGAGTGCTGGGAACTAAAGTCAGGTCCTCTGAAAGAACAGTACAAGCTCTTAAATGCTGAATCATTTCTCCAGCCCCGCTATTTTAGGTTCTTAAGAGTGAAAAAAAGAAATTTGTTAATGCTTTTTAATAAAGTTAGGAATTTCTGGAGCTAGGGAGATGTTTCAGTGGATAGATAAAATGCTGGGCAAATGTGATGGCCTGAGTTCAGATCCCTAGCACTTGTGTGAAAAAAGAAAAAAGTGAGTGCGGCCGTGTGCACCTGTAATCCAAGCACTGGAGGCAGAGACAGGAGGGTTCCTGGAGCTTGCCCACCTTGACCTCTGGCCTGCATGGGTATGCACTCATACATGTACACACCACACACAGACACACACTCACACACATACAATGGTAGGAATTTCTGAGATAAAAGGATTTTCTCACCCTGAGTGGTAGCAAATGCCTGTAATCCCAGGTGAGGATTGAGAGATGGAGGCAGGAGAATCACCATGAGTTCAAGGCCAGTCCAGGCTACAGTGAGACCCTGTCAACAAATAAAACAAAACAAAATAATAGATGTTCTCCCTTGATCTGTGTGGGTTTCCTTCTGACCCTGGTAATAAAAGATGCTTGGTCTCGTTCATGCAAGCTGTGGAGAAGCTGAAAGAAGTTGCTGGGTCCAAGCTCCAAAGAGGAAGAAAAGGACAGCATGCTCGTGTTTGCACACTTCTTTATGAAGTGTGGTATTTCCCTCTAGTAGTCCATTGCACAATACAGTGTTTGTTTTTGAGACAGGGCCTCCCTGTAGCTCAAGCTGGACTCAATCATTAGACCACACTGGTCTTGATCTCATAGAGATCCTCCTGCTTCTGCCTCTCAAGTACTGGGATCAAAGGTGTGTGCCACCACCCCCAGTGTTGCACAGTACTTGGAAGAGTAATTATATCCTCCGTGGGACAGGTAACACTTCTTAAAACTTATTTATTTATTTATATTTTATGTGTATGAATGTTTTGACTAGATGTATGTAAGTGCACCACCTGTGTGCCTACTGCCTGTGGAAGCCAGAGGAAGGCATTGACTTCCCTAGAACTGGAGTTAAGGACAGATGTAGCCACCATGTGGGTGCTGGGAACCGAACCTGGGTCCCCTGGGAGAACAGCACATGCTCTTAACCACTGAGCCATCTCTCCAGTCCATCCAATGCATTTTTTTTTTTCTGGTCTTTTTGAGATAGGATCTCCCTGTAGCCCCATCTGTCTTAGAACTCACTATGTAGACCAGGCTGACCTTGAACTCACAAAGGTCTCTGCCTCCCGAGTGCTGGGATTAAAGGCATGCGCCACCAAGCCCAGCACCCATGTAACACTTTTATGTTAGTAAAGTCACCTGAAATATGGCCTGGTGAGTGGTAAGCTCTTAGTACTTTTGAGAATGTTCAATGTTCAAGACTCTTAACAGTACTCTATTGAAGCCAGTTTAGAGCCTCATGCCTATTGTTTATTTATTTATTGTTTTTGAGACGGAGTTTCATGTAGCCTAGATTGGCCTTGAACTTACTGTGTAGCCCAAGTTAGCCTTGAACTTGCTGTATAGTCCAGGCTGGCCTTGAACTGATCCTGCTGACCCTATTCTCCAAGTGCTGGGATTAAAGAAAGGGCTATACCACCATACCCAGTTCTGTGTCCATCTTATTTGCATATGTTTATGATTAAGAGGGAAATAATATAGTAAGAACTTGGGAACAGTAAAATTTATGCTTGAAGTTTATATGTTAGCTAAGCTAATCTTGAAGCACCAGCAAACCAGAGTCCAGTAGGTAGTCATAAATTCCTTCCAGAGGACCACAGATCTTCCTCACATTTTTATTTGTACTTAGAATAAAATTCTCGTGCTATTTTTTATGTATAGTTAGATGGAGGTACCCCACCAGTCTTGCTTTCCTCTCACGTTTTGTCTCACACTCTTTTCCAACACCGAAGCAGCTCGCCTCAGGTTGCAAGCATCCCAAGTGGCTCTGCCTCATGCCTCTTCTAATGCCAGTCCTGAGAACATGGCCCAAAGAAATCTCAGAGCTGATGGGCTCTTCCCTAGGGACCCCTGAGATCCTGATGGTCGGCCTGGGTTTGGGCTAAACTATGGCAGTCAGGACCTGAATGGGAGATACTGTCTTAAGGCATTTTACCCCCACTCCCATCACCAGGCATTGGGGCTCAAAACCCAGGGCCTTGAGTATGCCAGGCAGGCACTCTACCTCTGAGCTACGTCCCCAGCCTTCTCCGCACTTTTGAAAGGTTGCTTAGGATTTGAATTTCAGTCACAACTAACTAGGATTAAAATGTTCACCCTCCTGGTCATATACACAAATACAGCCTTTATTATTTTTCCACAAAATTAAATCATTAAGAAGAAGAAGATGGGGTTGGTCGGTAAGGTGTGACCACAGAACTGCTTTACCTCCAGTGTCACCTGCTCTTTGTTACACAGAAGAAACAGCTGCCTGCTGGAAGTACACAACAGCAGTGCTGTTTGCTCCCCTGCAAACAGAGGGCTGCCCAGCAGAGGCCTGTCTGGGCTTTCTGCTTGTCCCTCTGGAATCTAAAAGGGACAACCCATTCAACCAGCTGAGCAGAGGACAGAACAGAGGAGGTGGAGAGGCTTCCCTTGAGGAGAGACCTGCTCAGTATGCTTTGGATATGGAGGCTAGGTATAAAAGTTCTGATGGAGGTGGAGGTGGACAGCAGCCTCGATGCAGGATGTGAGAAAGTCATGGCCAAATCCTGCCTTGTAGAATGTTGAATCTCTCCCTAGGTTGTGTTGATCAGGAAGGCAGGGAACAGAGCCAACAGCCAAAGTGTGGGTGGTGTCTCCTCCATGAGCCGTGGCTAAAGTGGGATGAAATGGGAGTTGGCTTCTCCAAAGGGGGTAGCTTGAAAGCAAGAGGAGAGTTACTGACTCTTGTTTCCGTGTTTGTAGTTCTTTTCCTGTGACTAGCCTTTAAAGGGGCATCTCCTGGAGTCTTTCATGCAGCAAACTTTCCTGGTGCCTGTCATATTTAATCTTCATAGCAACTTTGTGATATGCATTATTAGCCCTTGTTTCCAACGAGCAAACTACAGCTTAGATTAATTGACCTATCTAAGGTCACATGGCTAGCAGAGGCGAGATCAGACGCCAGCCCTTTTTAATATAATTTTTATTTATTTTATATGTGTGAATGTTTTGCCTGCATGTATATAAGTGTACCCATGTCATGCAATGCCTATGGAGGCCAGAAGAGAATGTTAGATCCCTGGAATTGAAGTTATGGACTGTTGTTAGCCACCATGTGGGTGGTGCTCTTAAC